TGTTAGTTTCTTATATATATATATATATATATATAAGTTCTTAGGAAACTGGCATATAGTGATAAATCTTCAATTATCCTAATTTCTATTCTATTTAATTTACACTAGGAAACAAATCAACAAGAAGCAGGCATAGGTCCATTGTCCAATTCTAATGGGATGCATGGAAATAGTGATGGGGAACTGCCCAAGAAAGGGAGTCGGAAAAAACGCTTGGCTTCTGTTTTTGGGGGAGTGGCAATCTTCGGTGCATTCTTGTTGTTACTTCAGATCCGGTATGGGTCTAGAAAATGTGAAAATATGGGCTTTTCAACTTAAAATTTTACTTATATTAGTTGCACTTAAAAATCTTCTATGACTTAGCCTACATAAAACTGATCTATCTATGCCTTTTACAGGAAACCAAGAGTACATGATGAAGAGAGAGATCGTAAGTTTGTGGGGAAATCTAAAGCTAGCTGGCCTAGTTTCTGGAAAAGGGGTTCAGAATCGGATAAAGCGGAAACGGATAAAGCAGGCCGGGTATATCCTGGAGAGAGACTGAAATTGCTTGACTAGGACTTTAGAATTTACTTGGGTTTAACCACAATATTGTTAGTAGTACTTTTTGGTGGGGTCTAGTTCATTAACCACCTGATGAGGCACCTTATATTAATGTCAACAACGTAGCATCATAGACTGATGAAGCCGCTCCTTAGGATCTATAGATTGTAAGAATAAGGATCTCAAGAGCAGAGTAATCCTTTGTTTCATGCAAAGATGAAGGCTACTGAAGCTCTGAGCCCCATTACGCTGGGGATATATAGACCAGTGTTTAGAAAATCAACTTGGCCATTTGGTGGAGGCCAGTCCGAGTAACTGCCCGAGTCCAACTCTTTTTTTTTTTGAAGGAAAATGAAGAGAAAGAACGGTTATATATAATATGAGCATTATTTTTATCAACCAAGCAGTAGACTGGCGTGTTGGCAGTGGGGGCTCAATCTTTTTGGAGCTCCAAAAAAATGTTTCTTTAAAAGCCGCATTTGTGTCATATAAAAAAATGGCGTCTTTAAAAGAGTCATATTTACAGCGGGACTAACTAGCAGGCAGAATATTGCATGGTTGATAAAAGTGTCGCGATTATTATGTATACTTTATTTTTTTATTTTCTTTAAAAAAAAAAAAGACCTTGCGAGTTAATCAGACTTGCAGGAGTAACTTGCCTTGCCCACAGCCTGAGTACCTTGGCCGAGTAGATTATCACAGGCTTGCACAAATGATATCCGTCAATTAAATTGGTAGGGGGCTTGTTAAGGGCAATTATGGTTGCCATATCTTCTTTGTAAATTGGCCTGTAAAATCAATTTTGTGAGATCTTGAATTAGCTGATTACTTGTGTTTATTGGAATTGTGGGTAATGTTTTCTTTGTTTTATTGATGAGACGTGCAAAATATCCATTTATGCGACGGTTTAAACCGGTGTCCGGAACCTCATTTTGAGTTTCTGTGACTCAGAAGTAAGCTTGGCTTAATCAAATGTAGAGGGGTCAGCACCAAAAAAAAAGGGTCTCTGTAAAGATAATCACAGGACTTTTTGGTTTAAATGAATTTTAAATGATTGTAATTCAAATCATGGATTTATCAAACGATCGACTTTGAGAACCAGATTTTTTTTTTTCAATCAGACGATTGAATCAAGTTACTGATATTGTTTAAATGATTTTGAATCGAACCAATTGTTCTTGAATCGAGCACTTTCCTATTCATCCAAAAGAAAAACCAGATTTTTTTTTTTGAATCAAACGGTTTGATGGTTTGGCGTTTCTTTGCATTTTTTATTATATTTTCCAATTTATGAGTGTAATGAACTAAGGATCCATGTTTAGAGGATAGATGCTTTCAGAGAGAGAACTCGAATGTTTTTTTTTGCAAATTTTTAATGGATTTCTTTTCTAATTTTCTTGAGAAAATTTATCAAACTAACCTGTTCATGTGAATGGTGTTCAACATAGAGAAGTGTGCATAATTAGTGATCAATGTCCGATAAGTCTCCATCCTATGGCTAGCATGGGTTGTGTGCCCTTTCTCGGGGTCCATGTTGACAATAAGGTTCTTCCAATGTTGCTTATTCATCGAGTAAAATAGAGTTACATATGCGGTCCAGAAAGTAAGCATCTATCTTAAAAATGCACGCAAGTAGGTGTTCGATCTAAAAATAATAGAAATTAACGGTCCAAATGTCTTCTTTTTTGTTTTTTTTTTTTGACCAAGATCAATAATTTTATTATAATTTATGAAAAAGAGATTACATCATCAGAAACTAAAAGGCTATGAATAGAAATTTACCCTTTAACAAGGGTATCGGCAATAGCGTTAGTGTCCATGTAAACATGAGCAAATGACACCATTACATTGTCAACCAAATCCATCACCTCCAGCCACAAAGCTTGAAGTTCCCATGAGACTCTCTAGTCCTTCTTGCACCATTTGATTACATTCAAAGAATCACCTTCGATCGTGAAACTAATCCCCATATTCTTACTACTGAAAATTGTGAGACCACACAATAAGGCACTTAATTCTAAAAAATTAGCCGTTGCAGAACCAATTGGGCCGGCATATGAGAATATAACATTGCCAAAGCAGTCTCGCAAAAGACCACCTATTCCTGCCAGCCCTGGATTGCCCCAAGAACTTCCGTCAAAATTAAGCTTTAGGCTTCCTTGACATGGAGCAATCCAAATACTCCTAGGCCTTGATTTTACAGAGCCGGGAAAAATCAAATTTTGTAAATTAGCCATTACATCCACCTTGGATATTCCCCACCCTTCTCTTTTCACTGACAACCAAGACTAGATGGAAAATTTGCAGATATGAAGAATTCGATCAAAAGAGTAAACCACCCCTTCAAATGTTCTTCTATTCTTTTCTTTCCATATCTCCCAAAGAATTGTCGCAACTGTAATCTTCCAGACAACACCTCTTATCTTAGGAAGAAAATGTGCTTTCAAAGAAGTTACCAAATCTTCAATCCTTTGAGGGAGTGGCATTTGGACTCCAACCATCTCAAAAAACCAGTACCATAATCTCGCAGTGAATGAACAATGGATCAACAAATGTGGCCCAGTCTCTCCATCATTCTTGCATAAAAGGCATACATTAGGCATCATATTGTCAACAATTAGGATTTTGTCCTGCACAGCCAGCCAAATAAAGATTTGTACTTTATGTGGAATCGGCCATTTCCAAATTTCCATAATATTTGCATATGATCTCCATCTATCATGGAAGAATAAATTGTAACATGATTTCACCAAAAACACTCCATCCTTTTCAATTTCTCAAATGAGTTCATCATTCGCGCTTTGTGAAATATAAACTTTATCCAGCATCTCCATCAACTGACACCATTGAGCCAAAAGTAAAATATTCAAACAGCTATAGATTAAATGTATGTCCCAGCAAACATTATTACCCCTTATCTCTATAGCCTCATTAACAGACAAACTAGGCCTTGACACCAGTTTCAACAGATCAGGGAATATTGCCTTCAGCGGATACTCACCCAACCATTTATGATGCCAAAAGGATACCATCTTTCCACTACCAACAATCCACTGAAAATACCCCGATATCATCGATCTACAACTTAAAATGTTTCTCCACAAAGGTGAAAGCTTCTTACTCCTTCCACCACCAACCCACAAAAGTGACTTATCTAGGCCATATGTTGCAAGTAAGACCTGATACCACAACTGCTCCTTAAGATGTATACTGCGCCACCAACATTTACATAATAATGTTTGATTGAAAGTCCTAATTTTCCTGATCCCCAACCCCCTTTCTCTATTTGGTGTACAAATTCTATCGCATCTAACCAGATGATATTTCTTATTCTTTCCATATGAACCTCAAAGAAAATCCCTCATCATTTTTTCAATCTTCTTTGCAACTGATTTGGGATATGATTTAACGACATCTAGTACACCGGTAAATTTGCCAAGCAAGCACGCAACAGAGTTACCCTCCCCCTAATGACAAGTATTTAGGTTTCCATAAATCGAATTTCAATTGTACTTTCTCCAAAATCCTGTCCCAAACTTAAATGGGTAGTCGTGAATCTGAGATAGGTATGCCAAGATAAGTCACGGGAAAAGAACCCACTTTACATCCCATAATATTAGCTAGAACTTCCATAAAAGAATTATCACAATTAATACCAATCATAGAAGATTTGTCAAAATTCACCTTAAGGCTCATTGTCACCTCACAACACTCAAGGAATCTCGCAATACATTTAAATTGCGGGATATTTGCATCACAAAAAATTAAGGTGTCATCTGCATATTGCAAGTGAGAAATAATTATTGAGGAGTTTGCAATCTTAAACCCCGAAAAAAGTCCCTCATTGTCCACCTTAGTCAGCATCAAACTAAAACACTCAGCATAAATAGTAAATAGAAAGGGGGACAATGGATTACCTTGGAGTAAACCCCTTGAAGCTTGGAAGAAACCAAAGGGGCTACCTTTGAAAAGAATTGAGAAGTGATCAGAAGAAAGACATCCCTAGATCCATCTTAGCCATCTTATTCGAAAACCCATCATCTTCATAATTTCTAATAGCAACCCTCATTCTACTCTATTATATGCCTTCTCCATATCTAGCTCTATCAAAACTCCTGACTTTTCCCCCACTACTCTGGAGTGAATACACTCATGTGCAAGCAAGACACTATCTGTGATTTGTCAGTTTTTAATAAATGCCGATTGTGAACTAGAAATCAAGAGAGGTAGCACTGCCTTCAGCCTCTCAGCGAGCACTTAAATTTTTTTAATAAAACTTTTTTTTTTGTATCGTTCCAATTTTATCAGATGCCTCATAACTGGAAATAAGAATTTTAGTAATAAAACATTTAGAATTTTAGTCCAAATGTTTTCTTACTAAAATTCTTATTTCCAGTTATTAAAATTTATTTATTTATATTC